TCGATAGAGCATCGAAACTGATGCCAGTGTGTACGGTGGGAAATTTAAATAAAGCATTTCATTTTTACGATAAATATAAATTTTGATTTATAAAAAAATGACTATATAATTTATAATATAATAAAGTATAAATAAATTTTGTTAAATTGTGGAATAATGTTTGTAAAACGGATGAAAACAAGTAAGAAATAATATAAATTAAGAACTTTATGCCGTACTAAAAGTAATTTTCAGATGTTTTTAAAAAATTCAAATGTGATTATAGATGATAGGAATCTATGTCTCTATGCTTTTGTTTATGAAAGACCGTTATAGAGAACGGAAACTCTTTTCAGTTACGAATACCGATTATCGTAGCCAGGATTTTATTTCAGCTATCGGTAACCAATATCGAGAAAGAACACTTTCTCCAGTTTCTGTCTTTCATTCTCAACTTTCATTGTTATTATAGGGAATTAGCGTGCATTGACGACGTAAAATTAGTTATGAAACTTATCGAGTAAAGAATGCATTATGAATTATTATGAAAAAAGAAATAAAATTTTAGCAAGAATGATAATTTGAATGGTGATAATGATGATGATAATGATCATTTGAATTCGATGATTATTTGCAACTAAAATCATTTAAAGAAAAATATAACCGTTAGAGCAGTTGGTTTTTCCTTTTTTCCTTTTTGCTTTTAACAATTACCACTTTTAATTTCATGATCCGACTATAATCGTTCATTATTCGATTTGAACCACGTGTTTCTTTACTATATTTTCTGTTTATATAATAATGAATTTTATATTACGCATTGTTTGTACCTTATACGGGTCTTTACGTATTGATGGCAGTTCGTATGGACTTTGTATATTCTAAATGTGAATAAACGCGAATAAACGCGAATAAACGCGAATAAACGCGAATAAAGGTGATTACGTTTGAAATAGTAAAATAGTAATATAATTGACGAATAGCGTGGTTGTGTGGCGTGGTTGCGTGGCGTGGTTGCGCGGCGTGGTTGCGTGGCGTGGTTGCGTGGCGCGGCGATGGGTATCGGTAGCTCGAACGGACACGGAATAGAGAACGTAAGATTTCAATCCAATGTATAGAACAAATAGAAGAGCAAAAGGAAACGAAACGAACGACTGAGATTAGATTTCTTAAAGTATAATTTAACACGTTTCAAATATTTGATATATTTGATATATTAACGGTTATTGGAAATTATTATTGCAAAATTGATCGAAACATTTGATTTTGATAGAAAGCAATTAGCAATAGCAAAATTTTGATCGGTAGCGTATGTATTCTTGGCTTTGCGTGGTACGAAGAGAGTAGCGTGGGTAATTGTATTTCAACCGTAGTTGACCGTCTAATTGATTGATTGTCCAGACGCCGTCGCGTTGTTCACGCAATATCCGCTTTAGGTATTACCTCTTTCCGACCGTTCAACTTACGTACCGACTTTACACGAGACTATTCAACCAGAAAACTTTCTTTAGTAAGTTTTACGATAAAAACTGTTATTTTACTTTAAAAGTATTTTTCCTATTTATTTCAATCGCAAATGAAAATTGTCTTTTAAGATAAATAGTTTTAATCTCTTTCAGGGGTTAACGACATAGCCCGTTTTTGACATATAGCTATTATAATATTTTCCTCTTATTCGTGAAAGATAAGAAGCTGCATTTATAAAATTATACAAAAGATTTGAAATATTTGAGACAAGAAAAGTCATAGTCATAGTCATAGTTATAGGCGAGACATTAGAATATCTTAAATACCTGATTATAATGTGATATAGACGAAAGAAAACTTTCTGAAGGAAACTGTGAAAATAAAATAGATTTTTTTTCTGTTGCACATAACGAATGGCAGTATGTAATTAACTTTATTATTTACTTACTGTAAATTTATATTACTAATGCGTTAGTATTGTCCGAAATTTGAACGATTTAAATTCGATTTGTATAATACTTTAATAATATAATATTATACTATACTAATAAATACTATAATAATAAATACTATACTAATAAGTTTTACCGAGTTATCGTTGCCCTAAATGAGTGTAATATCCGTTATAAAAAATACATATGAATATCGATAGAAATTCAAATACAATGGAATGCTCTTTTGAGCATTATAGTGAAAAATGAAAATTATAGTTGCCACGTTAATGATACTTTAACGAGAAAGATATTTACATGGATTCGTTGTTTAGAGATATTTGAAGTACAACTTGTACTTATACGTTTCAAATACATTTTAATACATTCGTATTAGTTTTTATGTTCGTATTATTTACATTATTTATATTTCGTGTTAATTTTTTATTTTCACGATAAAAACATAATAAAAATTATGTTTATCGTATATTTAACTTTTAATCGAAATACAAGTATTTTATTTTCCTGTTTTCAAATTACGAAACAATTTTTGCGCTAAAGATTGTCCTAAGATTGAGAATTAAGAAAATGTTTAAATGCATTTTTAAATATTTATGATACCTACGCTTAGTTGTCATTGAATATCTGTAAAAATATTTTCCAAAATTAAATATAGAAAATTATTTCGAATTTACTTCTTCCTCGCTTTACTTGATATAATATGTATTTATTGATTTTATATTATATTCAAGTATAGTATATTTTTCGAAATTTTTCATTTTCTTATCGTTAGTTTTTCTTACTATTGGCATTATTAAGGTAAATCAGCAAGTTATTTGGACAATTTGAAAAATGCTTCTATCAACTAATATAGGATGTACCAAATAAAGTGTAAATAGCGTACTGTTTAGTAAAAATCGATCGATATCTAAATTAATCTAATATGATCTAATTTTGGGCCTACTTTTTTTGTTTATAATTTATAAGTGTTTTGTTTCTTTCTTTTTTTTTTTTTCTTTTTTTTTTTTATTCGGGGTACTTACAGATACCCTTATTTATAGGAAAAAATTGGGTCTGAATTTGAGTAAACGAAAGAAATGTCGTCGTTTCAGTTATCAAACGTTCAATACGATGTTCTTGGACTTGCAAGTACTTATTATGTTTTTTACTAATACTAGTATTTTCATGTCTTTCACAGTTGGAGGAGCAGTTGCTAATACTTGGCTTTTTATGTTATAGTTATATTATAGTTATAGGACCACCTTGACCGAAAGTTACACTTGCTTCTTCGGTAATAAAAGGCGTAAAGACACCATCGTGCCTTCTCGCGTCAAGTTGCAATATCTTGCAGTAAAGTAAGAAAAATATTTCTTAAAGGATAAAAGTAAACTCTACTTGTTAACGTTGATTCGAAGATCCAACCGGATGAACTAAAATCCAATTAACGATGCGATCTTGGATTTTCACTCGATCAATATAATGTCAATTAATGTAAAATAATGTGAAATAATGTGAAATAATGTGAAATAATGTGAAATAATGTGAAATAATGTGAAATAATGTGAAATAATGTGAAATAATGTCAAATAATGCCATCGATAGAACCACGGAGCCGTGTACAAATGATAATTTCGTTATAGAAATAAAGATATGCAACTATGGAGAATAGAAAAAGTGTAATTCAAGTAAAGGTTATTCAGTTTGATGAGAGTTTTATCAGAATAACAAAAAACGATCGTGACTTTCTATGTAAAAAAATTTGGCAGCAACTTGAAAGATTAGCCGATCGGGGTCGTATACTTGAGAAACCCGAAAAAGAAGAAAAAAAGAGAAGAGAAGAGGAAATGAAAGAGCTTTATTTGCTGCATTCCTTTATTAAATTGATACATATTTAATGAAGCAACTTGGAAAACATAGCGAAGCGAGATATTTAAACGATCGATATGTAGGTAATATGTTAGACATTTATATATAATGTAAATAATAATTTTGCCTCAATGTATTATATATTATACTTTGTAATACGTTTAGAGATAATAGAATTATATACACTTTCATTTCATCACTAATATAAATTAAGAAACGAAGCAACGATTCGCGCATTTTCTTATATCCTTTATTTTCTGAGTTATCATAGTTCAAAATGAAATAAAATTGAAAATACGTTTCACTGAGATATTCGAAAAAGAAAGAATAATTTACTGTTTATCGATGTATAAAATATTATATTTTTGCCCGATTTTTAATTTTAATATTTATTTCATGAAAAATAAGGTCGATAAGTGCATTTTAAAATGTTCGGCACAGTTTGTTTTTCCGAGTAAATCAATTTTCTTTTCATTCTTAAGCAGTAAGTATATTTATATAGATATATCATTATGCATATAGAGCGGGCCAGAGTTGAATTCCTTTAAAGAGATACTATTTCAATTCAATTTATTTAACAATTTTCGCTACAAATGATCTAAATACAAATGGTCGAAATAGTAATGGTAATAGTAATAGTAATAGTAATAGTAATAGTAATAGTAATATAGTAGAATGTATAAGAAATTAACATTGCGTGTTGCGTGTATTGGCTTTTCTATGAAAGTATCGATTATTTCCTCTGTACTCCCTCTTTGGAGAAAATCAAGGAAAGGGATTCTCTGTTTGTCAGTTACACTCGTCTGTTAGTCAGCGAGATGTCGCGTAGAAGAACACTCGCTGTGTTATCGTTGCCACGCTTATTTATATTCTGTGTAATAATATTTCAAAGCAATGTTTCTACATCTATCCAAGTTAAAGAAGGTAGA